AAAATTTTGGTCATACATTTTCTCATTTACGACGTCATTAATTAAGATAGTTGCGGCGAGGAAATATTAGTTGTATATGAATTCAATTTCGAAGTTGCACCTGGCTGTCTAATTGCCCTAATTTTTTCAGTAAAATTTTCATATTCCTCTTAATCTCTTGTTATAATTAGCTCAAAATTTAGCTTAATTAGACAAATATAAAGCTGACCTATATTACTTTATTAGCTATGTCTATTAGTCGATTTGGTAACTTAATTTTTTAACCAGACGAGATAAACGATAAATCGATAAGAGAGACTGGGATAAGATGGTAGACATTTCAAAATTTAATTATCAAAACTGTTCGGATAACTGATTGCTATGATTGCACAAAAATGACATTTAGATAGGCAGATGTATTACGATTACATATATATACATAAATTTGTCAGCAACTTTATTAGTTAATGTGTGAAAATTGCGTAAGTGGTTCATATAGAATTCATTTCATATTTATAAAGTGACGAAATAAAATTACGAAAGAAATATGAGAATAAAAAACATCAGGATTTACTTTAAGAATGCATTAAAATATAATACGGAAATTTGAAAGCAACATTTAATCAATTTGTTGCTACATTAATATATCAATAAATGTATATCACTGTGCGGAGTTAATTTAATGATTGATTCAATACGGTATATTTGTTCCACAGGTAAAAAAAAAAGTGAAATTTCCATCATCGATTGTCTCACGTCGTGAATTATAATGAAAGTCTGTCTGGGTATACACTATAAAAAGAAATCAATCAAGAGGCAACTGAAATCCAGTCAACGAATACAACTTCAGAGTTGCATCTGGCGAATTATCTTAATCCCACTGTTCTAATATTAATTGTCTCAGTAAAATTCTCACATCTTTCCTTTAATCATATTCTTTTAATCTGTTATTGTGTGAAACAATCTTAAAATTTAGTTCAATAAAGCTGGCACACATTACTATCGTATAACCGTATTTATCCGTATTTAACCGTATTCGATTTAGTGGTTTAACTTTCCAACCAGAGATAGAATTAATTCGTATTATACAGTTGGATCGTCCTTTTAGTTAAAGGAACGTTTAGATCGCACAAATAATCACATTTCGCTGACCTCTCGCTATCGGATAAATTTCGCAATTCGAATCCCTACACCAGATCCGATTTGATTTTTACGCGATTCACCTCGACCGCCGCTTCTCCAACGAAATTCACACGACCCCGCGACTTACACATCTTTTCCCGTAAAACAGAAACAACCTCCCTCTTTGTTTCCACCAGCCAGGAACAATCCCGCGCGCCGTATATTTGCTTCGCGATAACTAAAATACGACGAACACGCTGTGTGCATCGCAGCCGACACGGTGTTTCCCCGAATCTCCCCGTTGTTCACGCGTAAGCGCGCGGCGATAATTCTCCCGCGTCGTGACGCGGGGGGAAAATTTTGAGGAAACTTTCTTCGAGGGCGCGAGCGAGCGAGAGTAAAGGGTATATAATGCCAGGTCGTAAATTCCGGCGGTGCTACGCGGACAAGTGTCGGTAATAGGCTCCTGCGGGTCCTTTTTTTTCTCGCACCCCGCGGCCGGTTTAGCACCCACTTTATCACACGAGGTCGTTCCGTTTCGAGTGGATCATTCTGCGCCCGACACATAGACGCAGGTGGCCGCTTCACGGACGTTATATCAAATCTCATCGTGTTCGGATAATTCGCATTTCTTCCCCACCCGCTGTAACTTAATTCACCCGTCTCCGAGGGAGTGTCCCTCTTCTCGGTCTGTGGTGGACTTGCGTGCTCACGTAGAGCCGAGGCGGCCGCATCTGCGACGATCCCGCCGGCCTTTTTAATGAGAGAGCATTGAGCTTGATCGGTTATTCGAAATCACGCAGGCTCCTGTGAATTCTCCCAGCGACAACCACCCGTCCTCGCCCCCAAGTAATTGTCCTCCCGCCGCGCCCCCTCTTTCGACACACACGCGCGCGCACAGCGTCGGGCAATGTTTGCGCGGCAAGCCAGTTAATTAATAAATTATCACGTGACAAACAATATTGTCGGCATCAAGGTGCTATCTATTATGTAGGAAATTTACCGTTATGGCATAATTGCGTATATCCTAATCAGCGCGCCGCGTTTTTAAGCGGGACGCGTGTGGGATACGCCAGCGTACAAGCGGGCGGTACATATTCATGAATAACGTGAATATTCAAGAATATAAAATTGAAGTGCTTGCGTTCCACTTACGACCGTGTAAATTTGTCATTCCGTTCGGCCAGCCGCAGGATGTTCGCGGGATCAAAATTACGCGCCCCTCGCGCGTTAAAGTCGCCACGGCGCTTCGGGGAGAAGGCGATTTCAGCTCCTTCAGATTTGTCCGCCAAACGCCTTAAGCGCGAGCTCGCCGAAATCCTACACGAACGGCTGCAGATTTAAAAGCGATAAAGGAGGACGCGATGATCGCACTAAGAGCGCGATGCGACTTTATGTTTCAGACAGCACCCCACGTGCCGTTTTACTTCGGCCGAGGAACCATCTCGGATAGATGGATGTACATAAATTTGGCGGCAGCTTTACTCTTCTTGTATCGCGTAAAGATCGTATCTCTTATGAATCTTTCCGGAACAACAAAGTGAAGATAGAGAAAAATAATGAGAATTTATTCGAAACTGCGTGTGTACAATGTAACATGAAAATCTAGAGATAATTTTTTCTAAGCTTGTCGCGCTCACCAGTGTGATAACAGAGTTTCCGTCCGGCAAGATGTTTGACTAGATCAAACAAAAAGATAAACCAGCGCGCGGTATTACGCAGAATATATACATAAAATAGTGTTGCGACAGTAATAAAGAAAATTCGTTATCATGACCAGGAGGGGAGGCTTCGTCGTGGAGGAAACTTCGCGACACTTACATCTTAAGTGTAAAGCGTGCGTACTGCAGAAAGTTATTATTAGTTTCGGGAAAGCGTACTTCCCCCGTCTCGGAGACGCGCGTAAAATAGCGGGAAACAACGTTACGTCATTTGCAAAGTTAGCATCGCGCGCGGGGCACAGTGCATACGTAGCACTTTCCCGCGAACAGAGAGAAAATTGCAGAGTTTCGATCCATCATTCGCGCATCCCCCTCCTATATTTCGTTTTTCTCCCGCATTCTCGGCATTCCCTCCCGTCGTCACCGCCGTCTGGCAGAGCCATTAGAATTTACCGTCTCGCGGCTGGCATTATCTGCGACGAGATACGTTATTTTTCGGCTAGCTAATGCGTATATACGTTTAGTGGGACATTACCCCCTCGTTGGCGCGCGCATGTCCGGACGTTATTTATCGCTTATTCGCTCCTGCGCGCGCCACGGTAAACAGTACGCCGCTGTACGAGCAACCGTACGTAAAGTGATCCTGGATGCGCGCGTTATTGCGCCGTGTGCCCGCGTCCCACACGCAGTGTTTGTTCCACCGGGCTGGCTGGGTGAGAAAATTGGAAAACTTGGCCATTCGTTTCCGAACAACTTCCCTCGTCTATTTATCGGCGCACTTAATTTCGCTGGTAATTACCTTATCGACGTCCGCGTTTTGCAGCGCGCGTTCCATTAAAACCAAAAAAAAAAGGATGAAAGAGAGGAGAAGTGAAAAGAGAGAGGAAAACAGGAAGGGGGAGGAAGTAAACCCGCGGTAGATTTCCGGCCGTAAGGCCAATTACGCAAATGAAAGTAGCTTTTGCCGCGAGAACGACGACGGCATTGCTCATTCTCACTTAACTGTAATTACCGTTACGCGCATAAACCTACCACCATTGCATCCGATCGGAACGCCGTTCCGAAAACACTTCAATCTTCCTCTTCTCCCTCTTCCGGGCTCTAACGACTCTGAGAGAGCCGTGAAACTGATCTTCGCCGATAGATTTCTTTCGAAGACTTTCCAGACAAATGCGTCAACGAGAGTCATATTTTGCGTGCACGGTAGAGCACTTGGCGAAGAGAGTGTAAAAGCCCAGCGTAGATACAACGCGCGGTGTTTTACGGTAAACCTAAGCGTCGGAAGACGATGGTCGGAGCGAGGCTCGGCGAGCTTCGGTATCTCATAGGACACTCCCCGTTCTCGAGCCTCGAGCACTCTCGTGACTCCCCGTTGTGCTGGCTCTCTCATTGCCCCGCACCGACCTCCACCGGCGCTGTTGTTGTTCACCCGTATTACGAGATAGATTTACATGAGTAAACATGTCGGGGGTCTCGGGTCTCCGACGTACAAATTGAGATTAGAGCTAAGCCCGAGAATATTTGAATGATTTGAATGCGGGCATTAAAGCGGCCCCGGCGTGAGTATTGAGAGCTCGCCGGAAAGTTACGGCTTGAGAAAAATCTCTCACGAGTCGACGCTAAATTCAGCGGAATTTACCTCTCCAACGTGTCTTCCTTGCTAGTAGATCGTAATGCGTGATATATATGCATATATGTATATTGTGTAAGTGCTCTTTAAATCTCTCGGAGTGAAATTTCACTTGAAAAGTAGAGCGACGGTCGAGTCGCTTGATTTCTCGCTCGTGCGAAATAAATTGTTCATTCCGAATCGGCGAGTATATTCGCTTAAAATTGGAGAGTGAATCCGACGTCACGGGGGAAAATTCATTGTGATCGATCGGAACGTTCACCCGTATGGGGTCGGAATCCACTCTGAGCTTCGGTGAAACATTCGTTCTTACGAATCCGAATGGCGGTATTTTTACTACTGCCTCGAGTGAATTTTTATTCATCTTTAAGATGAGATTTCACTCCAGGAAATTTAGAGAATATCATATGATATTATACGTTGTATTAGAAATATGCGAAAGGTTTGTGATTCGATTCGGTTGAGAAATCGCGAGAAAGCCATCTTGAGCATTCTCCATTGTTGCTGCAGGTAATGAACCGGGATATATCCGCTTCTGATGCAAATGGGTTAATCAATAATATAATTAGTTAGAATACCTTACCTATAAATAGCACATCGGGCAGATACTATTTACGTAGCACATGGCCTTCAAGCAGATAAGAATAGAGAATAGAACTGATGAGAATAAATATCCTGCGAATACTCGATCGCTTGATTACTCACTTGATTGCTCAAGTATACACAGCGGCCGCTGTAAATCGCGTCTTGCCGGGTCACGTATCGATAAAGGGGAAATTCCTAGTCACGAATGAACGGAAGTTCGGCCACTTGTCAACCGAATTTACGGCGGATACTTAGGATATAAGACAAGCATCTTATTTTCATGAAAAAGCCGTAAAGTTCGTGGCCCGTCGAGCTTTCGCCACGCCGCCCGTAACATACGGCTGATGATTCTACAAGCGCAAAGTACTCACAAAGTTTATACCGCCGCCGCGTTACGGAGAAGTTATGTGCCGGCGAGGGCTCCGGGGAAAATCATATTTCTACACGTATTCGCCGGGCGCTCATGTTGAAGACATCAAAATAATCCTTTTAAACAACGCGACCGTATATACCCCCCGAGAGGGCTGACGTTACACTTATTCCTTCAGACTTCGTAAAAGTGTGTTACATCCGGGGTAAAATTTTATTTTACATCGAGTATCCTGTTTCTCCGCGACTCTCTGTACGTCACGTTTCCAAGATTACATTTCAACCGTTCAGCCGGGGTCTCCCGCGGCACGATAATTCTTTACACGAAGCTAAAGATCCGGCGAAGCGTGTCGCACCTATCGACACGCCTTTGTGTTCTCTCAGGTGGGCGACTTACACTTGCCTAAAAAGATGTCACACACCGGCACAACTTCCTCCTCTCGCGGAGGAAGAGAGAGAGAGAGAGAGTGCCGCGCGATGGTAGGACGACTATTGATTAAGAAAGGTGATAAATCGCGGCATGCAACGTGCGTACTTACTGGTAGCGCTGACAGCCGGCCCGATGACCGAGTACTTGGGGTTCCCCGTAACAGCCCCTGGGACGGCCTTGTCCAGCTCTGAAACACATTATTGTAATTATCTCGAGAATATACAGTGCCGTTAATTACGACGGGGAATCGCGCGTGCAACACGGCCAATCTACCTTAGCACAAAGGACGCCACATGATTCATCGCCTCGTAAATACGCAAAGACGCCTTTCTTCGAGTCGAGCGGACTGATCGACGTGTTATATTGATTAACGTCGGTGATCGAATTTACGGGGCACGCAACCTTGATAGCTGGACGAACGGAGCTGTATTGCCGATAATTAACAGGATATTAAGCCTATCATTTTGCAATTAATTCCCGTCCCCTTCTCATTGTTACCCTCTCATTGTGTATCCGTCAACGGCAAAGTCGCGAGGAATGGCGACGGGTACAAAGGCGTGAAAGGCCTCGAATGCTGTCGCGATTACCGAGCCAGCAAAGAGGCCGAAGGGAAAGCACGCAAGCTCTATGGATACCGCGTTGGAAAGCTTCGCGCTCTTCCTTGCCGACCGCGAAAAGCCCGGGCGAAAAGCTACCTGGAAGCTCTGCCTCGTGGTGCCTTCGCGCTTTAGCCCAGCGACCCTCCATGTGGAGAGCTTCCGAAGCTATTGGCGCCCTTCGAGGTACCGGCCGAGCTTGCGAGCTGGCGCGCGCTTCAATCATTTACTTTTATCTGAATCCGATAACTTCGCCCCGCTGCGAACGACTTTCTTCGATTCGTCCGAGAACCGATGTAGTTAAATTATTCATGCTGGGGAATTCGTATACTTGAATTGAACTTGAGAATGTACAAAGACGTGAAATACTATTGTAAGGCAGAGAGAAAGAGAGAGAGAGAGAGAGAGAGACGTGAAAGTCTGTTATAGTAGAAAATATCTTTCGTCTCTCCTCACGTCGAGCGATCAATGTGCCTTTGTTATAATAAGAAACTCGATGCGACACACACGTAAACGTTTCTTAATACCGGAAAATTGTCACACGAGCGGGAGGGACGAATAGTCCGGATCGATGGCCCGGGCAATGAAGAAGCCCAAAAGATGCTCCGGCAGTCAGCGATTCGAAGTAATGGATAATTTAATGGCTCATCCCGTGGCTTTGGGGAGCCACCTGGGTGGAAGCGCGTCGCCAATGGCCGCGGTACACATCGCGAGATGAGACTCGGTGCCGAAGAAAGGCGGATAGGGGAGAAGGGGTTGGGGGGGGAGGGGGCGGTGACTGCGGCTGGATCGAGGAAGGATGGATTTTCGTAATGTCGACGAGTAACCGTCGTTCGTTACCGACCAGGATGCGGCGCATCGTCCAATGGCTGGAATTGGAACATCGCCTTGAAGCCTTGGCCCGGCCACTCGGAATTAGCGACGAACTCGACGTAGAGGTCTGGCCCCGTGCTGAGTACCTCCACTTCCGCTCCTTGGTTGCAGAGCACGGCTATTGTGGGCGCCCCTGAATCCGTTCCGTCGTGCACCCTGATTAAATCCGCCCTATTCAGGCAACTGTAACAGGATGCCTTTCGTTAGAAGATGACAACTTATCGCTATATTGGCCTTCACTGACGGAGTAACCCGCTGAAAAACCGGGATATTCGTTTCTAATCTAATTTGCGCTTTTACATTCGCGGACAAAAGACGCGCCCGTCGATCAAATCCCGCAGCGAATTAATTCCGTCGGCTGCCGAGTCAGTGCGCTGTCGATCGGTCTTGCTTTGTGGAGAATGGTCTTCATCAAAATTTCAACGTCTAAGGAAGACGTCAGAAATATATATATAAAAAAAAACACCAACCGTATATTTCTCCTTTACGAAAGAATTCATATTTCGCGAAGAATGGCAATAGAAATGAAAAATAAATTCCATCCGATCGTAAAAATGTTTATTTATAGGAAATGAATCTGTTCACTAAAAAAAAAAATATTTTATGCACATACAACTACGAATTGGTTCTAACAGTTTTTTGTTATTTAATCGATTTGCATCTACAAAACTTTTAAAAAAATCTCATATGCTTGTGTTCTTTTGTGATTACAATTTTTGCTGCGATATCATTTCACACTTTTTTGTTCCTGCCATATTTTTACAAGGTTAATTTTTATTAAATATTAAATACTTTGAACTTACAAGGACACAGTGAACGCCTCATCAATTTTGATTTCTTTCCACTTGGTTATTCTACATCCAAAATAAATATACTCGTTCGTGTCCGAACGTCCAATGCATCTTATGAATAGTAATTTTTAATATTTGAAGATAACGACGACGACGATGTATCTGAATGACATACATCAAGCGGAGAGATGCATGTGTAAATTCATACACTCACATCAGCCGGCATTTATCGGCACTATTCTGGTATTATTGCGGTCGGAAAAAATTCACGTTACTCTTAATTGTTCGCAATTAAACTGGTTTATTTATAAATAACGACGATTTATTTCCACAAAAGTATTCTCGCTCCCATAGGGCATAAAGCACAGAGCAGAGTTTCTCGCAAACGAGCTGAATTAATGAAATTCGTTTATTTAAAAATTGCAATTATTTATTTCAACAAAAATATCTTTATTCCTGTGAAGGATACGCAATAGCGTGTCTCTCGCGAGACTACATACGTATTAAGGAAAATAATACCGAAAAAATACAAAAAAATATTCACTCAGTGTATTATTTATTTATACCAATACACACATTTTTACATACTTTGCAAAAATTTTTTAGAAATGAGAAAATACACATGTTCTTAAATCTGTAACTTCTGATGAAAGCAGTTCTTTATTATATTTAAATAAAAATTTTGTATTTAAATGTGTTATTAGTACTTGTCAAATAAATATTTATTTTTTAGATATTTTTTTATTTAGTCTACTGCATATATATTCGGAGCAAGACACCGCCACGTCTCCTGATCAGGTTTAATCGTCGTGCGAACAAGGGAACGATTTTCCGAACTACTCGGCGACGAAACTATGTCAAGTCCGCTTCGTGACTTGTCTAGAGATAGTGCTGCAAGGAAGCGAAAGAATGGAAGAACAAAGAAGAGACGAGAGAGACAGGAGATCCGAGTTCAGTGGGGGGGGGGNNGTCAAAGGTGAGACTGTAAAGAGTGTACAGTGACAAAGGATGCGTCGGCGAGACGCGCGGCGGGCTGGGAGTAGCGACAGACTAAGGAGGGAATCTCGACGACCGGCGATTCGTTCTATACGTGTACGCTGGACTACTTTGCCCGATCGAACCCGAAGAGCATTACACCTCGCGGCAATACTCCTCCCCGGCCGTACCAATTGCGACTACCACGTAGACGGGATCCACCGTGGCGATCGATTTCGAGGCTTGATCGACGACGGCCGCCGAGATAACCATATTACTCGCACGGGTTAAGCAATTACGCTGGCAGAGAAAGATTATCGTCGAAGAGCCGAAGATTAAAGAGCCGCCCGTGTCCCGCATACGTCCCGTGTACGTACCCGCTGGCGTTGATCTCTTGACACTTACTGGATGTAAGGTAACTTGAAACTTTCCGTTATACGCATATCATGTTGTGATACTCGGCTATCTCACTCTCTCTTTCTCTCTCATGACTGTTAATTATTCGAGGGAACAATGATATTTCGAACGGTACAATGCAAAAGGATGATAAGAACGATAAAGGGACGACGAGGGAACGGTTTACGGGGTTTTTATTTGGATTAAGTAAATATCTTGAATGTAGAATATAGTGTGTCTACGAAGTGGACTTAACATACTTTCGTCATCGAGTAGTTCGGAAAATATTTCCCTTGTTCGCATTAAATTTATTGAATTAAATCTAATTTATCAAATTTAATTTAATTTAATTTAATTAACCTGATCAAGAGACGTGGAAGCGTCTTACATCGAATATATATGCAATATACAGTATACTGAATAAAAAATATCTAAAAAATAATAAATATTTATTCAGCAAGTACTAACTTTCGTTTAGAAGAAGTGAATGTCGAAGATGCTTCTCGCTCTGATCGGCCAGTTACCACGGATGTCGACCAAATAACGGCTTTAATCTGATCGACAAATAACAACTTAGAAAATCGCAGCGAGGTTAAAAGCTAGCAAATCAATTGTTTCGAAACATCCAAGCAAACTTGGAATGGTGTAAAGAAGTTTGAGTGCCGCACAATTTGATAACAAAAAATCTCATGGATCGCATTTCCATCTGCGATACGCTGTACAAACGTAACGAAAACGACTCATTTTTAAGATGAATTGTAACAGATGACGAGGAGAATGGATCGTTTACAATAACATTGAGCGAAAGAGGTCGTGGGACAAGCAAGGTGAACCGCCATTAATTACTTCGAAGCCTGGTCTGCATCCGAAGAAAGTTGGGCTCTCCATTTGAAATTGTAAGGGAATCGTGCATTATGAAGCTAATACCGGACAACCAAGCCATCAATTCGGACAAATACCGTTCGTAACTGGATCAAAGTTCGATATATCGAACCCCAGAATTGCGTTTCTCTATTTAAATCTAGATCTATACTTAGAGTAACGTTAACTTTGAAAATTCGAGTCGAAGCGTATGAGAGAGATATCGAGCAGCATCGGCAGCACGGAGGCATGAGATCGTTACTTCTTTCTGTTGTCGCCTGAGTTATCGACAGTGAAGTCGAATTGCTCATATCCGTCTGTCTATATCTTGTCTATAGGATGGGTATTATTGATACCGTCACTACCGATAGCCTTTCCGTCGAGCCTAACTTTTCCATCGGCGTGCACGCGTCGCAGGACAAAAGTGTATCGAGTGCTCGACGGATGAGTCTCTCTCGGTATCCATCAACACCATTCGCGATAATATCGCGGATGCGTCTGACGGAGCGGCCTTAACGCTGATATATGGAGGCATTTCTCAGCTCTCTCGCCCGGGTCCTTACAGATTTTTACCACCGGTCTTGGAGAAAGAGTGCCATCGGCCACGGACATAAATTAACGTTATCGATCGCAGATTTGTCGACGGTATTTCGCGTATCGCCTTTCAGCCTCGGCCCGTCTGCTCTTTCCTCGCGTCAGATTTATGCACGCGGTGATTATAGTTTTAAGTATCATATTTCACGAAACACCTCCTCCCTGGACGACGTATCGAGAGAGACTTCGTAAAAAAGGAGTAAATAAAGAGGAAACTAAATATATATACAGAGCGCGGCACCCACCTGGCCATTCTCTCTCTGCCAATGCGAGATAAAATATTTCCCTTCGAGTTACGCTGTGTATTCATTATCGTATTATCGATTTCTCGTTTGCTAAAAAATAATTAGCGACGCGTAAAGTTTTGATAAATGAATTTAAATGAGAATATATATGTATACGACGACATATAATGATTAATTTTCCATGCGAGCGTGAACAATGAACAATTACAACAGTTGATGATGTTTACTCAGGTCTGCGTATCTTCCTCTGATTAGACGGCGGCATTCATCCACCACCACACAATCTCGTATTACCTCGTATGAACACGTCAGCGTAGAACCAATATTTGGCTCGTTCAACCCGCACTCGGCACGAATGCCGGAACCTTCCGCGAGACAGGATATTAATGTTCTCGGTTAATTTTTTACATAATATCGAACGCGACAAAAGATATATCTCCGCGATATCTGTGCCGAAGAACCGATAATATCCCTCGATAGCAGGATCTCTCTTTCTCTCTGCGCGATCTCGATGCGAACGGATTATTCGGAACGTAAGTATCCGGATATATCCGGAATGCACGGATAAATTATGCGTTATATACTGCGTGAACGCTAATATTTGAGAGTCACAAATTTCCTCATGGAAGGTAATGGCCGCTTTTTGCACCGCATTGGCGCCGAATTGCTCGTGAATCACTATGCCACGGGCCATAGCCGGGGACCGATCGAACCGCGCGAAACAGAATATAGAGTGAAGTTTAAATGAGCTTCGGTGCTAGTTGGGCCAAGTAAAAAAGCCACGAAACATACAAAGCAGACAGCTTAAAACATTGAAGCGTACCGTCCGAAAATATGTGATCTCTTATTTAAAGCGTGATTGAAACGAAAAAAAGAACGATTTTTCATCGATCTTTCTAAGCACGCGTGTCGCGCGAAAATAGAGAAACCGGTTATATGTAATATCGATAAACACAGCTCGGTCCAGAGATTTGACGGCAAAAACGGCGTAAAACCGGCGGAATATTTTATCCGAAGACGCGGCAGCGAAAGCTGATTATCTTCACGATGATATTTCTCTTCCATTTTCGGCCGCGTTGTTTCATACTCGCGTAATAACGTAATGCGATTTGAAAATTGCTTATTATTCGTATCCCGTTGCGCCCCGCTTCGAAAATTACATTTGGCCCCGCATTATTCGAGAGCTGACCCTCCGACTCCCCCACTTTTCCAGTCCCAACCTCCTCACCTCCAATTTTCTAATTGTCGCTCTTCTTACGCTCGCGAAATGGCATTTGGAAAAAACAAGATACCTGTCGAAACGACATGGAAGGTCATTTTC